GCCGCACAGCGCAGTGCGCACACCACTCTGCCACCGCTCCCACCCTTTTCTTGTATTGCGCTCGTGAGTTACACATTGCGCACAATAAATGCACACACACACACGCGCTGTGGATATAGCGTATTGCAATTGACAAAGTACATACAAGATGTAAGTTGTTTTATCGTACACACACACGTGAATAAATAATGTGATGTTTATACTATAGCGCGTCGTTGAATTTGAATGCATACCAATGTTGATGCAGATAGATCTTACCCATGCTAAAGGTCTCCGTATCGCTGCGATACTATTGCCTTTTAGGGGGCAAGTGCTGGTAGCGAGCACCTATTAAGGCCGGCACGGCAATTGCCGGAGTAGTCAGAACCACGCCCCAGGACCACGCCAGGCCGCCTTTGTCTCCACATCGCTTATGGTTTTAGACAGCGCACCAAATACACAATCAAAAAACGCCGATAATCGAACCGAGGTCGCTGGGATCGTAGCGCAGAGTGAAAACCACTTCGCCACCGCTCCCTACACACACTCACTCAAGCACGAGGCACACACACACACGAGATCGACAGAGTGCGCAGGCGGTGCAACTGCGCTGCCGTCCACGGGTCGAGATAGACCCACGGGCCCATGTCTGGCTACGGAGAGCTGGGGAAATTGGACATTCCTTGTCCAACGTCACCCACACTGCACCACTGCGCGAGACGCAGTGAGGAGTGGCATAGAGATGGGAGGGGTGGGTGGGGGGTGAGATTTGGGGGTGGGTTGAGGGTGGGGGTGGGGTGGGGGCATGGACGGTAGAATCCCCCCCCCAACATCCCCGCCCCCTACAAATGTAACGCTAACCTCTGCAAATTGCAGCCGTGCGCGTGAGTGATCATCTCATTCCACTGAAGTTCCGTCAAGCGATAGCATCGGCCACGTGTCCGTGCAGACACCCTCCCCCATGTCCTCGCATGTATACGATCAGAGTGTCGTGTACTTGGGTCGTAGAAATCGTTTGTTTATTTATTTCAATTCATTACCTTTATCGGAATGGGGAGAAGAAGAATAAACCGGTTACCGGTTTTGCCGCACAAATAAAAATGTCTGCAGCAGTTAACGTAACGCGTCTAGCTTTGTTCTCTCTTCACTGGGAGCCGGGGGGAGCTGCCCCAGCGGTGTGATGGCCAGCACGTGACTCGACTTGTAATGCAGAAGTCTCCGGTCCGGCTCGATATCCCGGTGCGGCAGGCGAAACGATGGGGGCAAGATTCTTAGACACATCCACCCACAAAACGTAGAAACGGCAGGTCACAAGCGGGTGGGTTAAAGCGTGGGTACTCAGACCTCATCCAAGACGCCTGGGCGGCGTGGACTAATGTACCAACTCCTGCATCACGTAGAGCTCCCGCACCTCCGATTAGCACGGTTGGCTACGTACGGTGCGAAAGAAGTTTAACACGCATGCATAGTGGAGAGAGGCCCCTTACGCTATCAGTGGCGCGTGCAAGGATTTGCAGGGCTGTCGTTTTACCTTCAACTGAGAAACGAGAGTGTAAAAGTACTAACATCCCACTGGGGACGATTCTAACAACGGTTAACGGTTATGGTTTAACAACCCCCACTACCTGTTTAATCCACTTCTGGATGAAGGCCCCCCCCCGACGTCGTGTTATTCATGGGGGTTGTTTGACCATACTTCACCACGCTGGTACGTGCGGGTGGGTGTAGGGGGTGGTGGTAACGGTGGCGGGACAGATTCAGATGGGATTCACCACTGATGGTAGCCGTGGCAGGGGATTGAACTGACATGGGAGGGTTCATTGCGCACTGCGTGAAACATCAAAGGCACACGTGTGCGTGTGCCATAGTGTGTGTAATACCCATACAAGACAAGTGGGGAGCGGTAGCGTAGCGGTTAGCGCACCGTGGTATCTGAACATATTTTGTGGCCTCCCCTAGATCGACTCAGCCATAAATGAGTGTCCTGATGCGGTGTGTGTATGAGACAACACTAGGGAGAGAAAGGCGGTCGGGGCGTGGTGTTAGCCAAACCACCCCCTCGTGCGCCGTGCCGGCTTCTAATAGGTGCTCGCTAACAGCATTTGGCCCAACAATATGTATGGGTAGACGGGGGATCTTGTTCTATGTTACCATTACCTATATATGTGTGTGTGTGTGTGTATTTCTTGGTGTGTTCTATGTGTGTGTGTGCGTGTGGGCTGGGGAGTAATTTCTCTGAACATTATGCACGCGCGAGTTGACGGGTTGGGGACAATACTGACAACGACGACGATAACAACTAAAGCTATGACAATAACATTAATTTATAGTACTGGATTCATTTACACACAACCCATTTGCACGACACGAATTCTCACAACGTCTAAACTGCGATTGCAGCGCCCCGATTTTTTTGGATAATATGTTATTTCACCTTTATTTAGCCAGGTAAAAAAACTTGAGGTTAAACACGTCTTTTGCGAGGGGGACCTGGCAAGCAGTCATAAAAAAAAATCACCGCACAATACGAAATAGTAGAATACAAAACGTTCAAAACAATTAAGATGGTCAATGACATTTACTTCTTGATCGAGCAGCGCTTCACCGAGTCTCGAGACCGAGAGACCAATTTTCAAGAGGGTCCTGCTACTGAGATGGTTGGTCAATTGACATTTCTTGTTTTTTTTTGACAAATTTTATTTTTGCAAGTCGTCGTGTGACATTACAGGCAAACGTTACGACGTCAAGGCACGTGTCTTCTCCCATGAATTTTAACGTAACGATTATTGGTTTGACCCAGTCGTGTACAGGCGTGGGGGCTGGGAGTGGTGGGGGAAAGGGGTAAAAAGGGGACGTTAGGGGGATATGCGGGGCCGTATTTGGTTGGAGGTTGTGCAAAGAGGAACGCGAGGTACTGATAGTCTCCTTTGAGTTTTGGGGGAATTCAGAGCGTGGGAGGGGCACATTTATATCTCTAAGAACCAGGGAGCCCCCCTCCCTGGGGACCTCCCCCCGCACCCCCCCCCCCCCCACTATAGCGCTCAGGGATCATCCGATCGCAATAGAATGTCCCCCCGCCCCCTTCCCCCCCCCCTCCCCAGCACTGTGGACGCCTTCACGTGTCTCTGCGCCAAATGCTGGAGCGCGTGTCGACTCGTAAATACACGGGGCTATCACGTGGAGGAAATACGCGTTCAAGTTATGGACTGCACACAATACGTGTGATATATCAACTCTCGCACAGCTGGAAGGTGGGCGGGGGTGGGTGGGGGGGCGAGCGAGCGAGCGAGCGGTGGCGCTGCCGTTCGCGTTACAGACCTGGCGACCTGAGTTCAGTAATTCCCTGCCACGGCGAGTGAAGTCTGAACAGGTCCCCCCGCCCCCCCCCCGCCTCCAGAAATCACCAACCCGTACTGACCAGCGTGGTGAAGTATGGTCAAACAACCCCCTGGAATGGCGCCGCAAGGAAAACGGACTCCTTCATCCAGCAGTGGATTGATGAAGGCTGGAATGTATGAGGGTGCTGTGAGTGCACATGCTCTTTATTGTAACTATATATTTACGTGCCGCTCGTTTACCAGTAGCGGGGTCTGATCGCTTGTGATCGGTCGTGACGTCACAATCCACAGTCGGCGAATTACTCGGTTCACACGTTAACGGGACCGCGTCATTGGACAGTGTTTAGCGGGTAATGTTTGGCGGATAAATTCAAAATACATCCGTTGTCGGCTTTTCTAACGGCAAGGATGGAATTTTTTTTATTTTTTTCCCAAAGCTTTCGAACCCTTCCAGAACATCAATAGAATTGACACGATCGTCTGTATGGAATATATAGATGTATTGGTGAAGAGCCGCCTATTCGGTAGAGTTACTGTGTGTGAGCGCAGTGCGTTAGCGCTGCACTGCGCTACGAAGCCAGCGACCCAAGTTCGATTTGCGCTCACGGCTAACAGCAGTAACGAATATCTGAACCGGTCCTGAGTCTCCTCTAGGTTGATTCAGCCTCAAATGTGTATCTGGTGCGGTGTGAAAACCATCAGCATTGGGGACACAAAGGCGGCCGGGCGTTGTGCTCGCCACCCACCCATTTAGTGTGCCGTTCCGGTTTTCATAGGTGCTCGCGAACAACACTTGCTCCAACAGTCCAGTAAAGGCTATACGGGGGATCTTGGTCTTTGTTTCGTGTTGGGGGGTTGGGGTGACGCAGTGGTTAGCGCACTGCGTTATGAACTCAGCCACCTAAGTTTGATTCCGGCCACGCCTATTGCTAGCGGTAAGTTATGTCTGAACCTGTCCTGGCTTCCCCCTCGGTCTGTTTAGCCTAAAATTAGTTACTGATGCATTGATTACGCATCGAAGCTGGCAACACAAAGACGGCCGGGCATGATGGTGTCCACAGCACCACCTCGTGCTCCTATTAAGGTGCCCCCGTTGCGACTGAACAGACTGTTGGGGCCAGTCGTCTTTGCGAGCACCTCTGAACGCCGGAACGGCACACAAGGGGTGGGTGGCCAACACCACGCCCAAAGTGCTAATGCTTTTAAACACTGCACCAGGTACTAATTCAAGGCTGAGTCGACCTAGGGGAGGCTTATGACCAGTAACAACACACACATAGTCTCTGGCGCTGCGCCGCCGAGCGGGATGGGGCACGGGGCGGGAGACACACACGGGGCGGGAGATGCGGGGCAACGAGAGAGGGGAGGGCGGGTAGAGGGAGGGGGGGGCACGATAGCTTAACGAGGATCACAACCTCCGCTAAATCTGCGGCGATCGCGCTAATTCTCATTGTGTACAATACAATACACACATCTCCACAAGCCGCGCTGCGTGCCTGCCCGCACGGGGAGCCGGGATGGTTTCAAGTGCATTGCGACATTTAAAGCAGCGAGAGGGAGAGAGAGAGCGTGCGGAGAGAGGGAGACACAGAGAGAGAGGGAGACATCATAGAGAGAGAGGGAAACGCGCGGAGAGAGCGAGGGAACATTCTCTCTCTCCGTGCTTTCCTCCACGACACTCACCTCCCAACGCTTGCTTCATCACAAAATCCATGCTTGCGGCGAGCGGTCGGAGGCGTCAGCAGCAGCACAGCGAAGGCGGCCTGGCGAAGGAGAGAAGAGGCACGGGTTGAGAGAGAGAGAGAGGCACGGGAGGAGAGAGAGAGAGACGGAGCGTGTGTGAGACGCGGGAGCGGAACAAGCGCCGAGCGATCGGAGCTTCGCTAATTTTTCTCACTTTGGCGAGTGGCGGAGGAGGAGGAGGAGTCAGCGCGGACAGCGCCCGTCGTGCCACGCCCACCCCGCTAGCCAGCAACCAATTAGGGCTCGACTTAGCGGGGCGGCAGCCAATGCCGAGGAAGGACGCGGTAACCCCCTGCGTCCCCCCCCCCCCGTGCCTCACCCTCCTCTCCTCCACCCCCTCTCCTCTTCCCCGCACATGCACGCGTGTCTGTGTGTGTCTTTGTGTCGGTGTATGTGTGTGTGTGCGTCTTTGCGTCTGCGTGTGGTGCTGGCCACCCACCCCCTCGTGAGGCGTGCCGGCCTTCATAGGTGCTCTCTAACAGTACTTATCCCAACAGTCAGTTAAGGCTTTACGGAGGATCTTTATCTTTGCCTGTGTGTGTGTGTGTACTCGTGTCTCTGTGTGTTTAAAAGTGATGTCATCGCGGTGGTTTCCCAAAACCAGCGCGGAGCTTGCACGCTGCGAGGTAGCGAGAGAGAGAGAGAAACTGTTGAGAGGGAGAGAGAGAGCACTGACTATAGGAATAGTCATGATTTTACGAACATTATTTTTCAGCTTGGTCTAATTTTTTTTGTATATATGTCAAAGGAGTTATCAGCTTCATCATCACGCTGGCATCATCGTAACCATTCAATCAACTTCACCATCGCTTTTAAACATTGTTGTGATCTTATGGTGACGGTGGTGCAATTGGCACAAAGCAAATTGCGTGCTCTGAAGAAGGCCCATTTCCCGAAACGCCGCCTAGTATTATTATCATAACGTGCGTTTTCATTTTACGACCACAGTATTATCCACGGATGTTTTTTTTTCAAACCATCATTAACATCGTCCTGATATTGATAATGATTTGCCTGCTGTAATCGCGATTATGTAAAGATTCAGTCGCAATGATACAATCTATAATTTATATCGATTCGTTACGCATCACCATCAATTATCATAAATCCACCTTCATCATAATTATAACATAACAACAAAATCATCGTTATAATCATAACAATAGCGTACTGTATTATAATCCGTAATGCGCAAAAAAGTCACTTAACATTAAAAAAAAATCTCAAAACACATTCGTCAATAACGCTGTGGCCTTAAAATGGCAAAACAATATAATAGACGACGTTTCGGTTAATGACAATTATTCATGTGCGATGAAGAAGGCCCATTCCCCGAAAATTCGCCTATTATTTGTTTGGCAAAACAATATAATAGACGACGTTTCGGTTAATGACAATTATTCATGTGCGATGAAGAAGGCCCATTCCCCGAAACTTTGCCTATTATTTGTTTGGCTTTTCAGGCCACAGTGTTATTGACGCGAACTTTGTTGAGCTGCTAACGTAGCAGTATCATCACCGAAGATTCCAGTTTTTGTTTAATGAACCATAGCAAAAGCGGATATCGAACTCCAGGCTTGCCAAGAAAACCAGGACTGATTGGGAAATGAAATGTAAATGCCCGAGAGAAGGATGAGCAAAACGGGAGACAACGGAGAAGAGACATTCGTGAAGGCGGGATGAACGAAGATGCGAGGAGATGGTGCGGTGGGAAACGGCGAGCCAAGCTTTGGAGGCACCGTGAAGAGGCGAGGAGGCGGGGAGGAGAGCGGCGAAGATTGGAGAAGAGATCCACCCCGGGTGTGTCTGTGCGTCTGTGTGTGTTTCATTATGTGCGTATGTATGTGCGTGTTTGGAGTAGTGAGCGGAGCAGTAGTGCAGCGGTTAGCGTGGTGCGCTATGAACCCGGCGTCCCGAGTTCGGTGACGAATATCTGAACCGGTTCTGGGCCTCCCCTAGGTCGACTCCGCCTCAAATGAGTAATCTCATGCGGTGTGTAAACATCGCCACTCGGGGACAAAGGCGGCCGGGCGTGGTGCTGGACACCCACCCCCTCGTGTGCCGTCCCGGCTTTCATAGGTGCTCGCTAACAGTACTTGCCCCAAAAGTCTGTTAAGGCTACACGGGGGTCTTTGTTTTATGTGTGTGTGTGCGTGCTCACATTATAGATATCATTGTTTCATCGTGCGTATATGTGCGTGTTCGAGTCCCGGTGTAGGCGTGTATGTGTGCGTGAGTGTGTCGTCGTGTGTGTGCGTGAGTATCTCATTGTGGAAGTGTGTTGTCTTTGTACGTGCGCGTGTATGCATGTCAGTGTTTATTTCAGAGCGAGCTTGTGAGAGAGTACGAGTGGGTGTGTATATCAGAGCGGGTATGAATGGCACGGGTGTGTGTGTGCGAGAGTGGAGAGTGCGGTGTCGTGGTTGGCGCACTGCGCTACGAACCTGGCAAACCGCTTCGCGACCAACAATTCCCGCTCACGACGAATTCGCAGTGGCGAATAATTGAACCGATCCTGGACCCGCCCTCCCCTATGTGAACCCAGCCTCAAATTAGTACACTGGTGCGGTGTATACACATCAGCACTTGAGGGGGGGGAGGGAGAGACAAAGGCGGCCGCGCATGGTTCTGGCCACACCTATCCCCTCGTGTGCCGTCACGGCCTTCATCGGTGCCCTCTGACATCACTTGCCCCAACGTCCTTTTAAATGCTACACGGGTGATATTTGTATGACAGCGTGTGCATGCGTACGAGAGAGTGTGTGTATGTATGCACGTACGTGCGTGCGTTCAGTGCATTTAACGCTCGGGTAGCTCTATGGGAAAGGACACTGATGCTGTCCACGGACCAGCAGCTGGATTAATGAGGGTCACCGAGCCAGAGCCACATGCTCAGCTCGCCCTGATGGAAAACAAAAACCCTCCATCCCTGCCTCCCTCCCTCCCAGGCGGGGTAAGTTGTGCTGGGTGGTTGTGGTGGGGTGGTTGTGGTGGGGTAGTTGTGGTGGGGTGGTTGTGGTGTGGTGGTTGTGGTGGGGTGGTTGTGTTGGGGTGGTTGTGGTGGGGTGGTTGTGGTGGGGTGGTTGTGTTTGGGTGGTTGTGGTAGGGTGGTTGTATTGGGGTGGTTGTGGTGGGGTGGTTGTGGTGGAGTGGTTGTGGTGTGGTGGTTGTGTTGGGGTGGTTGTGGTGGGGTGGTTGTGGTGGGGTGGTTGTGTTGGGGTGGTTGTGGTGGGGTGGTTTTATTGGGGTGGTTGTGGTGCGGTGGTTGTGGTGGAGTGGTTGTGTTGGGGTGGTTGTGGTGGGGTGGTTGTGTTGGGGTGGTTGTGGTGGGGTGGTTGTGCTGAGAGGTTGTGGTGCGGTGGTTGTGTTGGGGTGGTTGTGGTGGGGTGGTTGTGTTGGGGTGGTTGTGGTGGGGTGGTTGTGGTGGAGTGGTTGTGGTGTGGTGGTGTGTTGGGTGGTTGTGTGGTGGAGTGGTTGTGGTGGGGTGGTGTGCTGGGTGGTGTGGTGGTGTGGTTGTGGTGGATGGTTGTGGTGGGGTGGTTGTGGTGGGGTGGTTGTGGTGGTGTGGTTGTGGTGGTGTGGTTGTGGTGGGGTGGTTGTGGTGGGGTGGTTGTGGTGGGGTGGTTGTGGTGTGGTGGTTGTGGTGTGGTGGTTGTGGTTGTGGTGTGGTGGTTGTGGTTGTGGTGTGGTAGTTGTGTTGGGGTGGTTGTGGTTGTGATGTGGTGGTTGTGGTGTGGTGGTTGTGGTGGGGTGGTTGTGGGGGAAGAGACACTGGGGGGATAGGAGTGGGGCACTTTGTCCCGAGTTGTATCCCTGGCGACGGCTGACCTCAGTGGCGGATGGTAATCCCCTCCGTTGGGGGTGAGAGAGACGTGATCGCGAGAAGAGTGGAAAATTTTGTCAATGGAAAAAAGGGGTCCTCGTTCTATTCCGCACGGCTTTCGTGTTGGTTTCCGTACGTATTGTGATGCGACGTACACACAACCGCTGATGGAGCAAGGCCTCTCCAAGCCTTTCGGTCACAGGAGGTTTGCGTGACCATACTTCACAACGCTGGTCAGTGCGGTGTGGTATAGGGGGATGCCTAGGACCGGTTCGGATACCACTCGCGACACTGATGTTCGCCTTGGTCGGGATTCGAACTCAGGTGAACTGGATTCGTGGCACAATGCGTTAATCGCTGCACCACCGCTCTACCTCCCGTAATACGTCGACATGTAATGCACTGAAGTTGTATCGAAGGAAGCCGCATTGCATTGCTTGGCCAATCCTCGTTTGTAAACACGGAGTGTTGCACCGCACGTTGAGCCGGAACAACATCGGAACTGGCGGAGTAGATCCCACCGCGCGTACGAGGAGAGAGCATTGATAGGTCCACACAGACGCGTAGACGGACCGACTTGGCTGTACTGCCGGTATCTCCTGAGCATCAGTCGCAGCGGGGCTGGCTCTGGAAGTTCCGTAAATCTGAGTGTGGTCCACCAACCCTGTTCCGATGACTTCGCGCCACCGGTCAGTGAATTCTCACCATCGCGTCGCACCCGGCACAGCCAATCAACACCCTCGCCCCACCGCTTAAGATGTGAATTTGTAAACACGAGGGGCTGTTCAGGGAGTCATCTTGCACGGTCCACGCGTACACGGGAATTGCAAACCCCCGACACCAACACTAAACTCACCATACTGCTCACCGAGATCACGACTAAACTCACCACGCTGCTCACCAACACCAATACTAAACTCGCCGCACAGCTCACCAATACCAAAGCCCGGACGAGCATAGCATTTTTGTGCAAGATTTGCAACTACATTTATTGCACAAAACCCACGTGACCGCGAGCTCACGCGACGCGCGCGCCGTCAATTCGCGCGTGTTTCCACGCAGCCTCGCGTCCCGCAACTGCGATTAGCACGGCTGGCTACGTACGGTGCGAAAGAAGTTGAACGTACACACACATACATCCGAATGGGACCCATATCTCACGTACAGAGGGGGTGGTCTTTGCAGGCGACATCTGACAATCCGGCCAGCATTGCTTCAACTCAAGCCTGTTCTGCGCTAATGAAACGATGAATGTCGAAACCGGCCCGCAGTGTGTTGGTATTCGACCGTTGTTTGCTGAAAAAGGGATGCACGTGTACGAAA